CTTATACAAAGACGTAGGGTCATGAAAGTATTGTCAAACAGGGACAAAATAGAATTAGCCTGACTAACTAACTATAGATAAAAAGAAAAGAGAAGATATACGGAAATTCAGTTTTCAAAAAATAAATGAAACAGTGATCTCAGGTACCAGCATGAAAACAGCTTGAATCAATCCACTACAGGACGTAGGCCTCTCCTAATCATTTCCAGCTTTGTCTGTCTAGCGTTTTTTGTTTCCAGTCTTAGTCCCAAATTTCGTTATTTCGTCACGCCTTCTTGTCTTTGGTTTGGCCCTTGGTCTCTTTATGTTCTCTATAACCCAGTCTGTTACTTTCTTTGTCCATCTGTCGTCCTGTCTCCGGCATATATGGCCTGCCCATTGCCATTTTTTTGAAGCTCACAAATATGTCTTCTACTTTTGTTTGTTCCCTGATCCACGTCGCCCTCATCCGATCTCTTAGGCTAATTCTCAGCATCAACCTCTCCATCCCTCTCTGGGCATTTATTAGTTTCCTCTCCACTAATTTGGTTGTAGTCCATGTTTCTGATCCATAGGTCATAACTGGGAGGACGCAATGGTTAAAGACTTTTCTTTTTAAACATAATGGCAAGGAGCCTCAGTATGCTACTGTGTCTGCCGAAGGCGCTCCAGATTAGACTGGTGCGACGCTTAATTTCCTCTTCTCTTGATGTGTTTGTCTATACGAGTTGCCCTAGGTATATATACTTGTCTACCACCTCTAGTGCTTCGCCCTGTACATGTATCCGTTCGAGTTGAACTCTACTGTTGAACAGGATCTTTTCTTTTTCTAAGTCCGACTTTCAGACTTTCTCTATCCAGATCGTTAATTAGTTGCTGCATTTCATTTGCAGATTCACTGAAGAGAACAATATCATCTGCAAATCTTAGATTGTTTAGGTATTCGTCTATTATTTTGATGGCCTTTCCGTTACATTCTAGTTTCTTGAATATTTCCTCAAGACAAGCTGTAAACACTTTTGGTGAGATGATATCGCCCTGTCTAACACCTTTTTTAATTGGTATTTCATCGGTTTCCGTGTGGAGCCTGATGGTTGTTGTCCCATCTTTGTATATATCTTCCAATATTTTACGATATATCTCCTCTACTCCCTGTCTTCGAATAGCATCTTGTACTGCTGGTATTTGTACAGAGCCAAATACTTTTCTAATCGATAATCGATGGCTTCTATCCGCGGCTGTTCATTTGAGTTGTATAGATGTAAAAGTCTTCCACTACTCTCATGATCTCATTCTTATTGTATGTCACTTCTCCGTCTGGTCTCTTTATTGCATACATTTGATTTCTCCCTACATATATATACACACACACAAACACACACACACATACACACACACACACACACACACACACACACACACATATATATATACATATATATGTATATGTATATGTATATATATATATATATATATATATATATATATATATATATATATATATATATATATATACTATATATATACATATATGTATATATATATATATATATATATATATATATATATATATATATATATACACTCTAAACCAGTGTGCGCTGCAGAGCCAATCTGAGATTCCAGAAGGAGGACGTAATTTGACAAGTGCCAAAGGGGCCAGAACGAGAGTGCCACTGAACGCACCCTATTACCAACCCCCCTCCCCACTCCCCCTCTCCCCACCACGTACCTTACCCCCTCTCCTCCTCTCCTTCTTATCCCCTTCTTACTCTTTTCTATTTTTATTTCTTTCTTTTTTCAATTTTTCCCTCTTATCGTCTCTCTTCCCTTCTCATCCTCGCCCCCTCCTACCCCTCCCCCTGCCCCTCTCCTTCTGCGATTCCTCATCAGTTTTCACCCCAACTCACTCACCCCTCCCTCCCCCCTCTTCTCCCCTCCCCCTCCTCCATTCTCCTCCTCCCCTTCTCCTCTATTCCTCCCTTTTCTCTTCCTTCCCCACTTCCCCAAACACTCCCCCATCCCTCTATCCTTCCTTACTCCCACCTCCCCCCAACCTTCCCCCCCTTTTTTTCTCATCCCCAACCCCCACTCCCGTCCCAACCCCCTATCCTCCCCTATCCCTCATCCTTCACCCCTCCCCCCACAACCCATCTTTCCCCCCATCCTTCCCGACTCAACCCCCCCCACTTTTCTCCTCCGTCCCCAACCCTACCTCCCCCTTTCCACCGCCTGTTCTCCCCCAACCCCCCCTCCATTTCTCCCCACCCCCCTTCCCACCCCCTTTTCTCCCCACCCCCTTTTCTCCCCACCCCCCTTTCCACCCCCTGTTCTCCCCATCTTCCCTCCATTTCTCCCCATCCATCTCCCCCATATTCTCCCCATCTCCCCTCCCACCCCCTGTTCTCCCTCCCTCCCCACCCCCCACCCATCCCTCCCTCCCCACCCCCTGTTCTCCCCATCTTCCCTCCATTTCTCCCCACCCCCCACCCACCCATCCCTCCCTCCCCACCCACCCCCACCCACCCCTCCTATAATGACGTCCGGCCCAGCGTGGTTTAACGCCAATTCGGAGACCTCCTGCCGATCGTCGCCGCCGTCTTCGGGAGACTCCATTGATCCTCGGCTCCTTAAACGGGGTTCTTAGGTCTCGTCCCCCCCCCCACACTCTCCCGGGAGGTAGGAGTAGAGGGGTAGAGGGGGGTGTGTGGGGGGGTGAGGGGTGTTGGGGGGGGGGGTAGTTGGGGGGGTGGATGTGTGGGGGGGGTAGTTGGTGTGGGTAGATGTATGTGGGGGGGGGGTAGGATGGATGGGTGTCTGGGGGTAGGGGTGTGGGGGTTGTTGGTGGAGTGGATGTGGTAGGATGGTTGATGTGGATGTATGGGCGTGGGTGTGGCTGTATGGAGTGGATTGAGCGAGTGTGGTTGTGTGGGCATGATGTGGATGATGTGTTTGGTGAGTTTTCTCCTCCTCAACTTTTTTTCTTCCTTCTTCCCTTCCTCCTCTTTCCTTTCCCACCCTCTTCTCCCCACCCCCCCATTGATCTCCGACACCCCCACGCCATCCCCACCCCTCCCCCACCGACGCCTTCCCCTACCGTCCCATCCTCCCCACGCCATCCCCCCCCTTCCCTTAATCACAAGAGGTAGTCATTCATATTCCACATCCTGCCGACGGGCGCTCTTTCCCTTCGCATAAAAGCCTTCTCCCTCACTGATTCCCCCCCCCTCCCTCCCTTCCCCTCATTCCCCTTCCCTCGTTTCCCCTCCCTCTCGCTCCTTTCCTCCCCTTCTTTCCTCTCCCCTCTCTTTCCCCTCCTCCCCTTCTTTCCTCTCCCCTCTCCTCCCTCCCTCTCCTCTCCTTTCCCCTCCCTCTTCCCCTTCTTAGCCCTCTCCTCCCCTCCCCTCTCCTCTCCTCCCTCCCCTCTCCTTCCCATCCTCCCCTTCTTTCCCCTCTCCTCCCCTCCCTCTCCTTCCCCTCCTTTACTACATCTTTCTTTCCTTTCCTGTCTTCCTCAAGATATCCATTCACTTACGCTCTTTATTGCCCTCTCCCAGGCTTCTATCTTTCTCTTTATTCCCTCTTCCCTCTATTCCCTTTCATTGTCTCTCTCCCCTCTTCCCCCTATTCCCTCTCATTGTCTCTCTCCCCTCTTCCCTTCTCTCCTTCATCGTCTTTTGAAACATATCCGTTCACTTACGCTCTCTATTTCCCTCTTTCATGCTTCTCCCTCTGCTCTCCTCTCCTCTCTTTCCTCTTCCTCTCTCCCCTCTTCTTTCCTCCCTCTTTCCTCTTCTCCTTCTCCCTCCTTCCCTCTCCCTTCCTCTGTCTTCCCTCTTCCCCTCTTCTCTTCTTTCCTCTTCCCTCTCCCCTCTTCCCCTCTTCCTTCGTCTTTCTTCCCTTTTCCCTCTTCTCCTCCCTCTTCCCTTCTCCCTTCCTCTTTCTTCCCTCTCCCCTCTTTCCCTCTCCCTTCCTCTTTCTTCCATTTTCCCTCTTCTCCTCCTCCCTCTTCCCTTTTCCTTTCCTCTTTCTTTTGTCTTCCCCTCTCCCTCCCTCTTTCTTCCCTCTTCTCCTCTTCTCCTCTTCCCTCTTCCCTCTTCCCTCCTCTCCTCTTCTCCTCCTCCCTCTTCCCTCTTCCCCTCTCCCTCCCTCTTTCTTCCCTCTTCTCCTCTTCCCTCTTCCCTCCTCTCCTCTTCTCCTCCTCCCTCTTCCCTCTTCCCCTCTCCCTTTCTCTCCCTCTTCGCCAGCACTCAGAACCACCTGTTGCCTCGCCCGCAGTAACGAGCTTCTGATCTTGTCTAGCGCACACCCCGGCGTTCTCACGACCCCTCCCCCCCCGTGCCCTGGCTTCTTCTTCTGTGCCCCTTCTCACTTTCTCTCTCATTTGCTCTCTCTCTCTCTCTCCCTCTCTCTCTGTGTCTTTCTCTCTCTCTTTATTCGTTTATTTATTCCTCTCTCTTTTTTTTTATCTCTCTCTCTCTTTCTTTAGCTCTCTCTCTCTTTCTTTATCTCTCTCTCTCTCTCTCTCTCTCTCTCTCTCTCTCTCTCTCTCTCTCTCTCTTTCTCTCTTTCTCTCTTTCTCTCTTTCTCTCTTTCTCTCTTTCTCTCTTTCTCTCTTTCTCTCTTTCTCTCTTTCAATTTCTCTCTTTCAATTTCTCTCTTTCAATTTCTCTCTTTCAATTTCTCTCTTTCAATTTCTCTCTCTCTCTCTCTTTCTTTCTCTCTTTCAATTTCTCTCTTTCTCTCTTTCTCTCTCTCTCTCTCTCTCTCTCTCTCTCTCTCTCTCTCTCTCTCTCTCTCTCTCTCTCTCTCTCTCTCTCTCTCATTCTCTCTTTGTATGTGTGTGTTTGAGTATATGTTTGCGTGCGTGCGTGTGTGTGTGTGTGTGTGTGTGTGCGTATGTGTGTGCAATGTATGATGCTCGCGGAAAGTGCATTAGAAATAAAGGCAAATAGAGTTATGCTTGGGTTTCAACCTGAGGATGGCATGATCAATAAAGGACGCTCGCCAGCCGATAACAC